GATGCGTTGCTAACTTGATGTAAACGTAGAGAATAAGCCAGAAATGATAACTGTGGTAATAAATATAATAAATGATAAATATAATCGGGATCGTAATTACATTACTGGAACCATTGCATAAAATAACACTGACCTCAGACGCATGATAAAAATAATTTTCCTCCTTTATCAGCTCGCGTTCGTGTCCTTCATGAGTAACATTATTTAATTCACATTTGTACTTTCCGTTTCTTCTCACTCTGTTATCATAATTAATGCTGACGCAATCGGGTTCCATGAAACACAAAGCTTCGCAAAACTTCTTCACCTTGACTTCAACGATGCGAATGACGTGGTTTACGAGGCGTTTACCATTAAATGCTTTTTCAGACGTGAAGCCCAAAGTACGACATTGATCTGCTTCAGAGAAGTCTTCAAATAAAAACAAATAAATAAATAAATCGAAAAAGGATATGTGAGATAAGGGTTTTTTTCCCTTTTTTTTTAAATATACAATTCGCATTGACCTATACTGCCAACAGCATTAGCAGGAAACTTCCATTCTTCCAAAGAGAAGTGGGTATCTTTAGCTAAGAAGTTTAAGATCGGAAATGATGCGATTTTATCCCAATACTTCATTGTTTAACCGAAAATATAAATGTCAATAGAGTAGAAGAAGTCAAAAAGGAGAAGTATTTATTTTACTCAGTCAGGGAGCAAGCACTTACTTAAGTAAAGAGGACTGAATTTAAGAAGAGATCACAGAAGAACCACTTGAGCAAGAAACCGAATAAGGAACCCTCTAAAAGGCATTCTTCAGAAGTAACTACAAAGAGATGACATAGTGACTAGGGTCGCCATAATTTCTAGACAAGTGATCATCCATACGTGTTAAACTTCCTTCTATTTTTTTAACAGATTACGCAAGCTACTGTTTCGCTTTGTTTTTTTTTTTTAGGTAGAAAGTGTCCTATCTTAGTAAACTCTCGGCTTAAACCTGTATTTAGGGCCGTAGAGGGGAAAGGCTAAGCTACCCATGGACCATTACAGAAGAGCTTTACTAGACTGGAAGTCCTCATTTCCTACAGCTGATCAGACAACTGCTCAAAGGCTACATGTAGATCCATAAACTGGTTTGTGGTCCATTTCTTAGTCTTCAGCATTTCTGATCATTTAACAATTCCAACTGATATAGTCAACTCGCAGTTGCTAATATATGCTGCCATTGTTAATAATAATGTCGGTAATTTGTGCTTTTCCCTTGTGCATGAAAGTTTTATCGACTTTTTGTCGAAGAACGGGGTTATTATCTGAAATACAGGTAAGAATTCACCAGCGGGTCAACCGATACAGTGGACACACAAAAGACAAGTGGTGCATCAAGAGGATGAGTCCATGCATTAATTCAGATGACAACATTCACAAATAGGAACCTTCATCGTGAACAAATCCAAAAGAATCCAAAATATATTAAAGAAGATAGGCTAGATGGAAAAGGAGTAGTATGAAAAACATTAAAACACACGCAATTTAACTACAAAACCTAACATTCCAAGTAAGTTTACTGATACAGAACCATCTCTCCGTCTAAACATCCGTCCAAATATAATTGACTTGGTTAAGAAGTTTAAAGAGTTTGTATGAATACTGAAGATGAAAAAACTAACAGGACATATCCCTCATAAAAATATCAGTTACTTAGGCTAAATGCGATCACGAAAGATCAAACTTCCGAACAGTTTCCTTCACTCACAGAGGAGTGATGGTGAAACTAACCTTTTGATGTGACAAAGGCGGTCATGATAAAGCTGAACAGCAAAAAAAAACATATAGAATTTGAATTATCCATGGCGGAGATCACTTTCCCAGCATAAATGCCCCAGAGATGTGAGAACTTATGTTAATTATCTACACTAGACTTTAAACTTCTCCTTAATCAAAACTTCCTGAGCCCCTTCTAACCAATGAAACTTGGATGACATTGCCTTGTTTACTTCTTTGTATAAAAATTTTATTTGTCAATTGGGATAACAAGAATTTAATTCAAAGGATAGGACTAAATTATTCAAACTACCTCGCTAATCTCCTTTAAAAAACAATTCATGATTAATGAATGAGTTTAACGAACAGTGGCACGAGTCTGAAAACATTCTTCTTGGGATGTAGCAAGATACTAAACGAAAGAAATTAAACTTTGATTTACTGATATAGGATATAGCAAATTATAAAGTCGAAATTTTTATAAAGCATTTGGCTCCAATTGGGCTCAAAATTGCCCTCAGCCTTGAAATGAACTTGGAGAAAATTGGATCATTAAAGGCATCCTACGGAGTCTCCAAGTGGCTTATATTGTTCTTCCAGCAGGCTTATATTGAAAGTTGTAATGGCGTAATTAAAAAATACAATACGCAGCGGCAGGTATGATAAAATTTAATTGAATTGGACTTTAATGCACACTCCCGAAAAAAGTTTTTCTTTAGCAAACTATGCGATCATCAAATACAATAGAGCAAAAACACGATGTCTAATATAGAAACAGCAATGAAACTCCAGGTGAGCTTTCGCGCAAAAACGTGATATCTTCACACGTGAAAACAATATATCATCACATATGAAGGTAATACCATTACTATGGTGATTCAATAAATCGCACCTCTTGGTAGGGAAAGTGAAATGGTGGAACCGATCTCTCATAGTTGTTTATATAGGAAATTGAATATAACAGGGCCGCTTGTATATACGAAATTTCTCATCTCGTGTTGAGCCATGATATTTCACTTGTTCGCTTCGCTCACTCGTGAAATATTTTTTAACACTCTTTGTATGTACATCGTAATATAACAAATGTTTGTTGTATAAAACTGTGTAACAACCAGTATTGTTTTAAAAACTCGTCAAATAGAGAGAAGCTAGCAGGCTCTTTCTAAGCAGCTGGCTCTTTCTGTTCTTTTGCATTATAATTATATTTAAGAATACTTTCAAGAATGCCTCTAACTCCTGATAAGCTACCAAATAATGGGATAGGAAGGGATGTCAATGAATTTCTGTGCTTAAGAAGACTGACTAAAGAAAAAAATCTTAACCAAGTCTTACAGAAATATTTCAAACTTTAAGATTTCTCGGATAGAGTACAGAACGAAAGAGTCAACAAGAGGAAAAACATTAGGTACGTGACTATGGCTAGACTATTTTGTAAAAAGAAGAAAGTGAAGTCAGTTAATCAGCGTGGCGTTGGGAAATAGCAGGTTACAAGGATATGTTAATTAATAGGAGAGAAAGGAAAAGGCTACCTCTGGCAACTTTAACAAGTTTCTAAATTGAGGAAATATCATTCATAATTCATAACGTGCATCAGCCATGTAACCAAGCTTTTGCCAGGTTGTCAAGGGGAATTAGGAATACTTCGAACTTCAAGATTCGAGAAATCACGTTGGTTGTAACTTAGAACGAGAAAAATGGAAAGTAGTGAAGAGTTACGGGAAGAAGATAGCGGTTTAAGATGGTTGTTTTTAGAAGCGCAAACGGTTTTTCGAACACCGTGAACGCGTGGTCTCAATACGTAAGTATATAGAGATAATAGGGAGCTTACGATGGAGGTTTTTTGGCATTTCCTACGAACCGCGAATGTCAAGAAGTCACTTGACCAGTGTCTTGTCACGTTTGCAGTTTGAGGTTTACGGTTGTATGGCCGAACCTAGCTCTAGAGGTATGTGATTACCACAAGGTTTTTTGCACCCTAAAACATCACAATCTCACGTTTAAAAGGAAATACTACTTTTTAGAACTCTTTCGCCTATTAATTGTCGAATTCTTATTCTTAGAAATGTAATTTTGAAGAGGATTTGTCAGCTAAAATAGAAGTGAACGAATTAATGAAAACAAGCATGGCGGCCGGCTATTTGTTATTAAAACTGTTTTGCCAGTCAGATTACTTTGAGGTAAAAAAAAAGCCAATTTCTGATGATATGTGAATGCATGAATGTTTAATTTGTTTCCTAGATGGCTCCGTTCAGATGGCCAAGCATACAAAGCTGCTTCAAGAAATAAGAAATAGAGATCTTTATCGTTCGACGACGAGCCTTCAGAACTACTATAATCCAGCTGCATAATGTCCAGCGGATCTTTGTAGTCTTGCCTAATTTTATAGAGGATCATGCGTTAGTGTTCTCCTCTCCTTATCCACAACTCACCTTTGGGCAGCAGCCATCTTGTTTTTGTACTAATTTTACATAATTCATCAGTGCTACCATCCGTGAATCTTAAGTCCCGAGTATGGGCAGACAGCTAACGTGAAACTGCTAACGGCAAACCGCAGTTTGCCGTTTGCGGCAAGATGGCCAAACCTCGATCTTAAGGTTTCTAATACCCTTCTCTACGCAAACTGTAAAGAAGCGTAGAGACATGTAAATGATACATTTGCACAATCCATAAAGAAACGCAGAGATGCCTAAATGATACCTTTACACCATCAGCAAAGAAGCGCGGAGATGCGGAAATGATACATTTAGGTAATCCGCAGAGAAACGTAGGGATGTTTAAATGATACCTTCACGCAATCCGTAAAGAAGCGTAGAGATCCGTAATTGATACCTTCACGTCATCCGAAATGACACCCAACCACTGAAAAGAGATAATGTCCCGAATATTCATCTGGTTCGAACTGCAATGCACCGAGCACACAGTTACTAATTGTACTTCGCATACTTTGGAATTTACTAGTTTAGCGTTTCAAGTTAAGCTGGTAAAGTTGTCGAAATGAGAAACTGTAACTAAAAAAATGAAACGAGCAAATGATTTCTCTGTGACATTTTTCTTTATTTACATCATGAAATAAGC